TTGGAGTTACAAAACTGTCTCAAAATTTTACAACTATCAAAACTCATCATAATGATTTCTAATCTTATTGTTTTGTACTTTGTACTAGTGACACATTTATCATAATTTGGGGTTGAATGTGCATGTATGAGTAAATGAGTGTATGAGTTGTAGACAAAAAAAAAACATAAGAGTTACACAATCTCACGAGAAACATTCCATTTTGTTTACTCTTGGGCTCTTGGCTAATGTGATATGAAGTTAACTGTTGCAAGAAATCATATATGATCGAAAGATAAAATTATACATTCTATTATTATGATCAAACGTGCAACGAAATGCTTGATGGTGAACTATGAGCTAGTACGCATCACATAATAAATGTTTGGATACTAAGTGATGTTGATCGTTTTCTTGTTTTTTCTCGTGGATGTTTCAATGAATTTACATTCAAATAAATGTGTATTTCTCTTCGGCACTCATGTTGGACGGTGTGTGTGATGATTGATGAACCTATATAGCTAGATACTACGTATAACATAATGAGATATGGATATCTAGCTAACTGCTTATCAAAATGAAATAGACACCTACACATTTGGACTTAGAAAGTGGTAAATATGTAATTGGATAGTGAGTTTTTAGATGGGTGAGCCATGTGAAAAAAGGGTAAAGAACATGCAGAATCCGTGTGAAATACTTTATCATGATCTCTTCACTTATGTTTTTGTTATATGGGACGTTCTGCGATCATGGATTTTTGCATGAGACATTTTATATCATGATATAATATGTCAACATTTGGAATAATAAAAAACACGGTTGGCTATATTGCCCCACATTGAAATGTATGAGAAAATGATGCTAGTAGTTATAGTTTGTGGTCATGCGAAGGAGACTATTCAAGAAACTATATTTACATATTCAAACATTTTTTAGTAATCAAAGCTGGTGAACTGAAATTAAATTCAAGGTAGTTTTGGATTACTATATTGTCATGTGTAATATGTATTTGTCAAGTGTGTGGGTATAAATTTGGTGGATATATTTATGTAAGGGATTACGTTTTCGTGTGTTTAATTATTCTTTGCAGAAGTAGCAACCTTATAGATTTATTTATACTTCTGAAGTTGTAATCATAAAGTTAAGAAGATTATGCTATTTTCAGTAAGTGACCCACACTAATAAAATATTAGCTATACTTATCTCTTACTTGTCTTAGTCTCATTAAAAAATACAATTCCAAAATATTTATTGTGTTGGTCGGGGGACCCTAAAAATGTAGGACACAATTTGATACTAAGACCCGATAACAATTCAACTATCAATTTTTTTTTTCCCATAAATCCATTATAGATGTGATGAAATTGCACCAGAAGAAAAATATATGTGATGGGATATTGTTTAGCTTTTAAAGACAATGATGGATGCTTCTAGACAATTTGAGTTTGAATGCCAGTTGTTGAAGTCGACAACATTTCTTAAATGTGCTTATCCCTTATTATTATACAGGAAAAAATCAGATACCAAAATAAATTGTAATTAGTCGAATTGAAGTTACATATCAAAAATGGTCCATACATCATACATATTGTATTAGGTATTGGCATACATAAAAGTTAAAATATGTTGTCGTCATTTAATCTGATTCAAACGTAATATAAATATATAATGTCATAAAACAATTTTTTTATAAACTAAAATCGTTATATTAGTACACAAAATATGGACTTTCAGTACTGTTTTAGTGGATAAGCTTGGTCCATATAATTGAAGGTCTAGCCCTGAAAGTGAACTAATATTGACATACCATTGTCATATAGGGAATTTACAAATGAAAAAAGCTTTAACAAAACAAACAAAAAATGAAATTTGCATTTTTGTTTTATGCACATAGGCCATAGCAAAGTATTCTTTAAATTAGCCTCTTGGTTTTATAGTGAAATTAAATTTTGGTCCTTGCAACTAAACAAAACATATAAGGCACTAATTCAATATATCAGTTTACACAAACTTTATATCTAGATCCTTTCATGAGTATTTGTTTTTAATCTTTTATCAAACCCAAGTCAGAGAAGTAGAGATGTCTCTAATCCGATCAAACCTAAAACATGATAAGAATATCTTGAAATACTAAATAATTAAATGAATCAAAATGCACCAAACAAAACATATATACTTTATATGCTAAATAATTAGATCAATCAAATTGCACCAAAAAAAAAAAAAAAAAATATTACTCCTGCTGTATAATTTTAGTATTGATAATAAGTTGTCGAATCACTAAGCCAATCGTCAGAGAATATATTGCTGCCACTCGCACTGTCATTGACGATTAACTAGTGGTTTGTTCCAATTATATACATGGGGATTTGTCATCACTCATCACCCATTAACGTGCATTAATAGTAAAAGTTAAAAACTATAAAATTCCATAATGATATTATAAATAGTAACTGTAGCATGATAATTCGTGTCGGTATTTGTGTATGGAGCTGGCAATCACATGGCATGTTACAAGACGTTGACTAGCTTCCTCCATTATGTTTTTTTCATGAGTCCATCCAAACCATTACTTTCATGTTTGTTGCCATTCTCTTTCTTAAATATTTCCGGCGGCCGGCAACGAATACGGCGCCGTTTGCCGTCTTATTTCCATTCCTACCTACTCTTCGGAATAAGATTCTTGTTGTACAATTTCTTGATAAAAAAGAAAAAAAAATTCATATCATTAATAAAAAAAATTTAGTTGTGCTTTTAGAAATATATGTGAAATATATATATGAATGTATTTAACTCAAAATATATCTAGATACATTTCAAATATATTTCTAAAAACGATAATTAATATGAAATGGAGTAATATAGGGTTTAGTTACATACTTACATTACATACGGATAAATCATAAATACAGAAACATAATAGGTATGAATGAAACGTGTTGGTATCGAGACATATGCATGGACCACATAACCACTTAATTCCTATATATTAAATGTTTACTTAAGTAGATGAGCTGTCAAAATATAAGAGTTACTATGGTGTATTTATAAAACTTGTAACGTATCGAAACTCTCGGAATCATGTCGCCACTTTCTGCTTACAATGTAGCATCTTCACATTACGTACTTCTACTTCTATTTCTGGTTCTTTTGCCAATTCAACTTTTTGCAAGTATATAACTGAGACCTATCACAATGTTTCAACACTATTTGATTGACGTAGATACCGAATCCTCCGCTGCATTTGGATATTTTGTATCATGTCGTCTGCCGGCTAAAAGATCAGAAGTGTTAGGCCGTTAGTGTATGAAGCCCACGGCCTTAGTAGCTATAAAGGTCCAAAATCAAAGTCAACAACAGAACTTTCAAACACTTTGCGGATCATTTGTTGTAACATTGCTTTTGCTTTAAAGTCCAAATGGTGTCTCTAATTGTCAACCATTGTCGTGATTACTCTCATTCGTTATAGTTCCTCCTTATAGCAGTGACAACAATGACTAGAAAGTTTCTCCTACCAGTTTTTTGGACGAATCATGTTAAGAAAATCTATAGGACATAATCAAAGTATACTTCCGACTTCGCGTATGACACCTAGTCTTACGCAATTCCTAATCTTATGTCTAAGCAATTTGAACTTTTATAACTTCTTCAACTTTGCTTCGTTATGTACAGCTCAGCAAAGATATAACATTTTAACCAACAATAAGCAAATATTGATGGTCCTAAAAGTAGAAAAATGATGAATTTTATTTCTTGATCCATGATGAGTTATAACAACGTAAGAATAAGTTTCCGTGTAGCGCAGATCCTCACATAGTATTAGATAATATATGATTCTCGTATATTTCAGTAATGTTACTTGTTCAAATCTGAAAACAAGCATTTGATATTTTGAGTTTTCGTCAACTAATGGTTTGTGGTGGAGTGTATCTCCATTGCTATGTGAAATTCCAGTTTCTTAACCAGCAAATTGTATCGTCCAAGTAAAACCATTTTGATCTTATTCAGTTGATACTTAACTAACTTTTGGATTTGTTAACGCTTCTTTAGGCTCGCTTATATGAACATAGCTCGCTTAGCTCAGAGGTTTTGTGGTAGAACTCGGTTCGCTATTTTGAAACTGAATGTTTTGAGAAAGATGATTATACTGTTGCTACTGTATTTGATTGTTTCAATTTGATTGATGTTACAAAAACATTTATTGTTACGTAAACATGATAATACCGAACACAAAACATTTCTCAATCAGTTCCTAGGTTTTACAAAAAATAGTCTTTTCGTAACGGAATTAGTAGGTTTTGTTTGTATCCTGTGCAGATTTTTTTTTTTAACATATGAAGATATATTAATATAACAAAAAGAGATACAAAGGGTCAAGGAAAAGACCAGGACTACAGAGTTTAAATCTACAAGCAAAGCAAAGCATAGCATCAACCATTTACAACTACATCAATAGGGCACAACAGCCGAACCAAAAAACTACAGTATTACATAGAGGCTGAACTTTTCTCATTCTCAAATAAATCATGGAGCCAAAAGGGATGACTACTTGCAACATATGATTGATGAAAATGATCCTCCAAAGCACTTTGAGCAATGAGAAATGCTCCTCTATTGGCTGCTCGTGACACTACTTCCACTTTCCAATCTGAAAAACCTTACCAAGAACTGATTCAGCTCCCAGAAATGAGCTTTGTATCCTGTGCAGATATTCTGATGTAATATTGTACATACTTTATTTTATTTAAATGTTTTGTCTGTCTTTCCCAAAACCGACGTTTGACTGCGGTTCTAATTTTTTTACAGAACGACGCCGTAACGATTCTGGTTTCTTCAGATTCGGCAACGATTTCCGGCGACTTTGGTTTGGTGTCGATGTCGACGAATCCTTCAACACTCTCTCTCTCGCTACTCCGCCTCCCTTCTCCGTCCACCGTCGAGCCGCATCCCTTCGCTGATAGAGTAAAACCAAAATATTTCGTCGCCTCTGCTTCTCGAATAGGAGCTAAAGGATTGAAATGAGCTCCATCTCTGGTTTAGGGGAAGTTGTGGAAGATGAAATCAATTCGTTTTTCGAATCTTGTCCACCTCTGAAGAACATGGATAAGATCATAGAGAGGCTTAATCGGTTCATTGAGCTGAATTCTTCACTCGCAAATGGTGAAGGGAGAAGGATTGTGTGTGTGACTTGAGGAGGAACAACGGTGCCTTTGGAGCAACGATGTGTACGATACATCGATAATTTCAGCTCAGGAAACAGAGGCGCTGCTTCTACTGAGTAAGTTTACATTTTCTTTCCATTTACATTTTATGAAACTCGTAAAGTGATCCCAAATTGGTTTTGATTTTGGTGCAAAGGAATTTCGTCAAGGCTGGGTATGCAGTGATATTTCTTTGTACAAGGTAACATTTAGTTTAGTTTTTGCGTTGTTCCTGAATTGAAAAATCTTCTTATGGCTGATTAATGGTGCTTCTTGTTAGGGGAACTTGCCAGCCATATTGCCGGTCTCTTCCCGATGATCCATTCCTTGAATGTTTTGAGTTTTCAGATACCACAAACATTCAAGTTCATACATCACATTTGGAAGCAGTCAAGAGTGCTGTTATGTATCAGCAAACTGTATGTATACACTATTGTTTGCAAAAAGCTGATTACTTTATTTTATTTTTTCTTGGTTCCTTGGAGTTTATTGTGTATATTAAATAACATTGCAGGCGATAGCAGAAGATCGCTTGCTAAAACTCCCATTCTCAACCATATATGAGTATCTTCAGGTTCTTGAATCTTGCACAAGAAACCGCTGTAAGGCAACACTGATACAGCTAAAATGACCTTGTCTTTGTCAATGTTTCTGGTTACAGATGTTGCGGTTGATTGCAAATGGATTGAAAGATGTGGGTCCATGCTCAATGTTCTATCTTGCTGCTGCTGTGTCCGACTTTTATGTGCCATGGAAGAGCATGGTAAGAGTCAATATCACATGTCCCTATAACTATTGGCTACACATCATGTCCCTATTGTGTCTGAAAGATGTTTTTGGAAACCAGACGGAGCACAAAATAGAATCAGGATCTGGTCCTTTGGACATAAGACTAGCTCAAGTCCCTAAAATGCTTTCAGTCTTGAGAACAAACTGGTCTCCAAAGGCTTTCTGCATTTCGTTCAAGGTCAAATCTCTCTCTCTCTCTCTCTCTCTCTCTCTCTCTCTCTCTCTCTCTCTTGTATCACTTTTTTTCTCCAAATTTTAGATAAACTTATATGGTATTTTTTTTAAATCCAGCTTGAGACAGACTCGAAGATTCTGATAGACAAGGCTACAAAGGCTCTAGGGAAATACAAAGTGCACGCTGTTGTAGCCAATGAGCTATCAACACGTAAGGAAGAGGTTGTGGTTGTTTCGAGCAGCGGCAATGTTGTGGTGAGATGTGACTCCGGTAAGCCTGATTCTATTGTTGAAGATAATCTCATTCGTCACATCGTTGATCGACACTCAACATACATCAAAGAATCTCACACTTGATTCTTCAAATGCTTCCAAGTCAAGGAAAGTTTTTTAGTCTTTCCTCTACACAAAATAGATTCTTGTAGATTGATCTCTCTGTGTGTGAATGTATTATGTGTATGAGTGGTTCTAAATCCAAATAGGTGCCTTTAATTGCCAACCATTGTTGCGCTTACTCATTTGTTATATCATATCATTAGTGACAATGACTAGAACGATTCTTGTTTCCCCCTCAGTGTTTGGACGATTCATGTTAAGGAACTTTATAGGACATGATCAAACTATACTTCTCCTATGATTTATACTCTTTTGCAATTCTTATAGGCAATTTACACTTTCCCAACTTCGTCAACCTTGATTCGTTATGTACTACCTCGTCAAGAACATAACATTTTAACCAATAGTAACCAAGCCTTGGTTTTGTTGATGGTCCTACAAATAATGATAATTCATCATTTTTAACTCCATAAGTTGTAACAATGTAAGAATAAGTCCGATCCTCATCTAGTTTAGACTTTAGATAATCAATTATTCTTGTAGTATTCAGTAACGTTACTTGTTCTATTGCTATGTGCAAAATTATCTCGTCCGGTTTGATAACGTTTTAGAGTAAAACCATTTTGTCTAACCTAACTTTTGGATTTGATAACGTTTTTGAGTCAATCCGGTTTTAATACTATGTTAAGGTGGTAAACTTTATTAATTGAGAATGAACGGAATGATTTATGTTTTTAATTTACTTAAATGGGTCGGTCACTATATAAATGACGTCTTAATGTTAAACTTGTGGATCACTCCATTGAAATTTTAACTTTAACTTTTTAATGAAACACGACCGACCCAACACAAAAGTGCATTGACGGCGTAACAGGGGCAAGACTGTAATTTTAAAAGATGAGATTACATTAAACCCTAGGTTTCTTTCGATGCATCCGCTATATATATATACGTCTCCCCTCTTCTCATATTCACTCGTCTTCGTCCTAGCCGCTTACACTATCTTCTTCCTTCCTTCGATATCTCTGAGGTACGCGTTTCTCCGACGCATCTACGATCTGATTTCTTCACCGATCTTTGCTTAAATCCTTTAGATCGATTCTCGTTTCTTTCCGTCTGATTTCTTCTTTGAATCCGATGCTCTTTTCTGATAATTCGTATTTGAGTTTCTGATCTGTGTTTTTGAGTTAATCGATTGATGAATTCGGCGTTATACACTGCAATCGAACTGTTTTTTCTCTATCTGATTTTGTACGATTGATTAATGGTTCGATCTATCTGATTTTGCGATATGATGATGAATATTGTTTGCGATTGTTGATTTGTGTCGTTGAATTGGTGATTCGAGAGAAGCATAAACAAATCCGTATGTTTCCTTCGTCTTGTGTTCATGGCGAAGAAACTTCTCGGATTGTTTGTGTGCTATAGATCTCTTGAATTGCTTATGTTTATAGCTCGCTTAGCTCAGAGGATAGAGCACCACAAAACCTCTTTGTGGTAGAAATCGGTTCGACTCCGATAGCGGCTATTTTGAAATTGAATCTGTTGATGAAGATGATAATATTTACGCTAATTTATTGATTGTGTCAATTTGTTCTGAGAAAGTTGATAAAATTGTTGCTAATGTATTTGATTGTTTGATTTTTTTGATTTGTTTGCAGATTTGTTAAGCAGCTATGGGTAAAGAGAAGTTTCACATCAACATTGTGGTCATTGGCCATGTCGACTCTGGAAAATCGACCACGACTGGTCACTTGATCTACAAGCTCGGTGGTATTGACAAGCGTGTGATCGAGAGGTTCGAGAAGGAAGCCGCTGAGATGAACAAGAGGTCCTTCAAGTACGCATGGGTGTTGGACAAACTTAAGGCCGAGCGTGAGCGTGGTATCACCATTGACATTGCTCTCTGGAAGTTCGAGACCACCAAGTACTACTGCACAGTCATTGATGCTCCTGGACATCGTGATTTCATCAAGAACATGATTACTGGTACCTCCCAGGCTGATTGTGCCGTCCTCATCATTGACTCCACCACTGGTGGTTTCGAAGCTGGTATCTCCAAGGATGGTCAGACCCGTGAGCACGCTCTTCTTGCCTTCACCCTTGGTGTCAAGCAGATGATTTGCTGCTGTAACAAGGTAATGCAACTATGATTGCTTGGATATATATGATTGTTGTGTTTCACTATAATGTTTTATTGCTGTTTCCTTGTTTTCAGATGGATGCTACTACCCCCAAGTACTCAAAGGGAAGGTACGATGAAATCGTGAAGGAGGTGTCTTCATACCTGAAGAAGGTTGGATACAACCCTGACAAAATCCCATTCGTGCCCATCTCTGGTTTCGAGGGTGACAACATGATTGAGAGGTCCACCAACCTCGACTGGTACAAGGGACCAACTCTCCTTGAGGCTCTTGACCAGATCAACGAGCCCAAGAGGCCATCAGACAAGCCCCTCCGTCTCCCACTTCAGGATGTCTACAAGATCGGTGGTATTGGAACGGTGCCAGTGGACGTGTTGAGACCGGTATGATCAAGCCCGGTATGGTTGTGACCTTTGCTCCTTCGGACTGACCACTGAGGTTAAGTCTGTTGAGATGCACCACGAGTCTCTCTTGGAGGCGCTTCCCGGTGACAATGTCGGATTCAATGTCAAGAATGTTGCTGTCAAGGATCTCAAGCGTGGTTACGTTGCCTCAAACTCCAAAGGATGACCCTGCCAAGGGAGCTGCTAACTTCACATCCCAGGTCATCATCATGAACCACCCTGGTCAGATCGGTAACGGATACGCTCCAGTGCTCGATTGCCACACATCTCACATTGCAGTCAAGTTCTCTGAGATCTTGACCAAGATTGACAGACGTTCTGGTAAGGAGCTCGAGAAGGAGCCCAAGTTCTTGAAGAACGGTGACGCTGGTATGGTTAAGATGACTCCCACCAAGCCATGGTGGTCGAGACTTCTCGAGTACCCTCCATTGGGTAGGTTCGCCGTCAGGGACATGAGGCAGACCGTTGCTGTTGGTGTCATCAAGAGTGTCGACAAGAAGGACCCAACCGGAGCCAAGGTGACCAAGGCCGCCGTTAAGAAGGGTGCCAAGTGAACTACTTCTTTATCGTCTTCAACCGCAGATGAATCAAGGAACTTTATTGTTTGTTTTTTTACTTTAGTTTGGTGTTTGGATGCTTGTTTGTGTTTTAGCTTCGTTACTTCTCCGTCAGAGTGCTGTTCTCGGAACTGGGTTCTTGACCGGAGGTGGCGGAGTTATTATGCACTCTAGCTTTGTGTTTCTTTTTTGCTTTTCGATTTTGAACCTTCTTTGATATGAATGAATATGTGTGACATTCCTGCGGATTTTTGCTTCCATTAATTTTGTTTAATTTTCTCGTTTTGTTAGTCGTTTATTGTTATTCCGCCGGTTGATAATTGCACTTGATACCATCATGTATTAATTACATTATAAACGTTGAAAACACACTCTTATCACTTGTGAGCACCGAACCGGAATCGCTTACAATTTTAGAAAGTGTTATATACTACTTACCAAGCGCAACTTTTTAATTCATACACGTGTTCTTTTTTGAGTTATCTAATTCTTCCATCAAGGAAAAATGATTTTGGGACGGTGTTTTTCTCACATCCAAGACGGTGGGTTTGTAATTCACAAGTCCAGACAGAAATAATGCTTGCATGCACGGCACTAACATATTGGCTCTGAGAGGTTGCATCTTTGAAGAGGGGAAGCGGGCGGGGGCTTCGTTCGAGACTCTAGTTTTAGGTTATTTTGAGACTGAAGACTTTTTTTTTTTTTTTTTTTTTTTTCAAAAGCCTCTATTTCTAAAACAACTTGGGGATCCCAGCTGGGGAAACAGAGTTTACATAATACACGTATTCTTAACTTTGACTTTTAAATAACAAAATTATGTATTACAACTTTTATATATTAATGGGCAGCCATAAACTTTTAATCAATGGATATGATTTTTAAAAAATAGATGGTATTTAAAAGAACTTTAATGTAGAAAGTGAGACAGTAAAATCTTTAAAAAGCCTTGTTGAGATTCCACTCTGAATAAAGTTTTAAAAAATAAATAAATAAGAGATTCCATTCTGAAAATGAAATAAACCTACTGTAATATGTATAAAAAGAAAATATTTAAAAAAATATATATAAATATATATTTTTTTAAATAGATACTCTTCTGTTTCAATAGATTAACTTTTGGTTTTCCACACATTTAAAAACAACAAAAATATCTAATTATAAATGGATTTTGTGGTCATATTAAAACAAAAAAAATCTATAACAATAAACCAATAGTAATTTAGTAGATTCAAATACTCATAATTAATATTTTTTAAATTTACATGTTTTTAACAGTAATTAAGAAAAAAATAATTAAAAATCTAGAAAATTTTGTGTGTAAAACAAGAAAAAAAATCAAAATATTAATCTACAGAGGGAGTAGTAAAAAATTGCATTATTTTAAATGAATAAGGAATATTATTTCTATGAAGTTTTCTGTGATCTTTTTTTTTCTTCAAAAATATCATTAAAGGGAAAATTTTCAAAAGATTTAAATATTAATTACATTTTAGAAGATTTCTATGATATATATGATTATTGTCTCCTTTTTCTGGCTTCTATGTGAAAGATTATTTTCAAGTTTTTTTTTTTTTTTTCATATTGACCCTTAAGTGAAGAAAATATTGATAAAATACTTCAGAAAATCTGAAGCGAAATCGACACATCAATGTTTAATGTTTAACTTCTCTTTCCACTTTACACATTTACCATATCCCCCAAGGCCCCAATCAACTATATAACACACTCGAAAGACGAAAGCAAACAAACAAAATCAGACGATCTTTCGTTTTCTTTCTTTTGTACTCTTTGATATTATTATTTTCAGTTTTTTTTTTCTATACTTTGAAGATAGATTCATGGCTTCTGTTGGGAACACACTCTGTCTCGTTGCAGCTTTGCTTCTAATCTACCAAAAGACAGCCACTTCCAACTTCCTCGATCCTATTTTCGGTTTGTCTCTTTTTCTTTTCACTTTTTCCTCCTTAGAAAAAAAATCAATCTTGTTTTTCAACTTTGATTTTTGGTCGTATCTTTTAATCCAAATCTAGATTCAATATACTAGTTCTTCTTCACAATTTGTTAATTTAAGCAAATTTCCTATTGTTTAACAAGGATAATATGTTGCTAGTCAAAGTTCTTGTTTATATAAACTAGGAGCTAACTAAACTTTATAAATATTTTTTGCTCAAGATTATGTAATTTAAATACATGTCAAGATTGTGGCTAAATTATGGAACAACTCACACCGATATTTGAACTAGAGTGATGCAAAAAAAGGACAGATCTTTTTGTTTTTTACAAACTAAAGTACTGTATTGTTACATGTTGGGTTTTGACTTTCTTTTTTCAAAGGGTCCTTCTCAATTTTCGAATTTAGTATACTGTGGCGACTCACATGAAGTTTGTTAATTTAATTATTGTGAACCAAAAAACAAAAAGGTAACATATGCAGTAAAGTGGAATGTGGGAAAGGGAAATGCAAAGAGTCTTCAAACGCAACTATTAAGCATGAATGTGAGTGTGACAATGGTTGGAAGCAGTTTGATAATAACCTCAAGTTTCTCCCTTGCATCATTCCCAACTGTAAGCTCTCTCTCTATCTCTATCTCTTGATGACTAGTTAGTTTGGTTTGATCTTATAGAACATAACAATGTAAATTCATCTTCTTAGGTACCTTTGATCTAACATGCGGGGAAGGAGCTTCTCCAGCACCACCTCCTAAAGATACCAATCCTTCACTTTTCGACAGTAATATACTCTAATCCATCATTTTCTTAGATCCTCCATGTGTATATATATGTGTATGACTCTGGTGTTTTTTCTATATAGTTTGTCACTGGGTGCAGTGTGGAGGAGGAGGGGTTTGCAACAATACAAACCCGTTTTTATACAGCTGTGATTGCCGTGAAGGTTACACCAATCTCTTGAACATCACCACATTTCCTTGCCACAAGAAATGTAAGAAGAAAAAATTAATATTCTTGTTGATTAATGTTCAACTGAAAAAAAATAAAGAGAAATTAAGAGTTAATTTAATCATGGTTTTGTGTGGTATGAAAGGTGCACTTGGACTGGATTGCGTGAATCTTGGGATCCCTCTGTCGAACGCATCATCATCATCGTCTCCTTCACCTGATCCTCTGCCTGATAGCACCAAGAATCAAGGTTTGTTCATTCCTTAAAATGTGTGCCCTTAATCTTAATAAAGATATCATCATTTTTAGCATTTGAATAAGATCTTATAAGTTATTGAGGAAGCTGAGGTTTGTTTAATTGCATCAGCAGGAATGAGTCTAAGAGGATCATCGTTGTGGTGGATAACATCTCTGCTCTGTGTCTCTCTAGCACCATGGAGGCTGCTCTACATTTGATCTCTTTTACTTTTCATTTCATGTCTTGAGAACAAATCGATTCTTTTTTAGATGTTTTTCTGTTATTCTTAATACATCTTCTCTTTATATATATATAAGTATTATTGTAAGAAATATGTGTAAGAATGTTAGAATCAAATATTGAATATGAGACGGGGTCTCTCTGACATAGATATATAAAATGTGTGTTTCTCGAATTATTATATTGGTTTACATTTTTGGTTGGAAATCCATAATTTTTTTAAAATGGTGTAAAAGTTCATGTAATCCGGTTGGACGTTGCCGTTTGATTTAGTATTGTTGAGATTATAAGGTAATCTCACTTTTATTTTTAAAAGGCATGGTAGAAATTACATATTGAAAAGTGAAAACAAGATAAAATCTACCAAGATAAAAAAAAACAAAAAAACAAAAAAAACAAAAAAAGACATGGACATCTACACTTATTATTAATTACTAGAAGAGCACCCGCGCGCAACGCGCGGGTTTATTACTATATATACAATTTCTTTTAACCAGTAATGAATCATGAATGTTTTCCAACATCCTCTCATTTAAGTTTTGTCGTATGGGGAGATTCACAATTAATTTTGTTGTGAATAAGAGCTGTAGTCTCTAGACCTGGATTGAACAATAAAAATCAAATGTACGATGGGAACTTGTTAATCTATAAAGAAGCAAAAGGTGTAGACTAAAAAAAAGGGTCAGACCTCATGTAGTGCCGTGAAACTTTAGGTTTTATATTATAAAGTTTTGTTTGACAAGTTTTAACCTGTAGTCACTGTAGATCTATGGTGCAGTGATGAGAAAGTGAACATCTCTAAAGCTTATGTTGCCTACTGGCTTCTCACTTTTCCTTTCAACGACGTGTATGCCTCCGATTCTCTTTCTCCTCATCAGCTTGAACACCTGAAGAACAGGTTCATCTTCATAGATCTGTAACAGAAATGGTGAGTATGTTAAGAACAACAAAGAATGCACTCTTATGGAGCTATGAGTAAGATTAGGAATACAAAGTTACAAAGCTGACCTTTATGATATGATCTTTTGACATAATGGGAAGACGGACTTCAGAGAGAGTTTTGATTCCCCAATCTTCAAACCAGTGGAGCCCCGCGCATTCTGCAAACATATGGATAACTCCTGATTGAGTGATGATGCTCTCGATCTTTGCTTCACCTAAATCAACCACAGGGATGCTCTTCATTTTGTACTTTGAAAGAAGCAAGAGCATGGTTAAAAAGGAGTTCTCTTTCTGCAGAGCCAGGAACGGTGCCCATCGGAATGTTCCAGAGATCTCGAACCTGTAAGAGAGAAGGATATTCAATGCATTTCCAAAAGCCGTAATCAGGACAAGAATCAATGGAACGTGTAAAGATAGGAAGCTTCACCTTGGTGTTCTTCTATAGCTCTGAAGAAGTAAGGACCTCAAAGAAGTTTCCAGAAGTTACTGCTGAATTTCCGTTATCCAGAACATCGGAGGTGAAATCATGAGCAATTCCATTTGAAACTGCTACAGTACGGCTCCTTGGAGATGGTGGCTCCAACTGTTTTTTTTTTTAAGTAGAGCAAAGACAAGAGAAGCAAAATGTTTGAAAGAGAAGATAGAAGGAACAACAAACCTGATGCAAAAGCCAGACAACAATGCCAGGAAACTCCAGAATACCTACCATGGAAGAGCTGACAAATGCATGCGAGTGTGTACCGCGGAGGGGAATTCCAAACAATTTTCCTACTGCAACATTACTCCGGTCAAAACAAAGCAAGAAAGCAATCAAATCATGTTCTCTCTTCTCTTTAGATCCTTTCATAAACAAAACCAAATCACTAAAGTAAGACTGAGACATGCCTTGTTGCATCAAAACCTCCAAGGTAGCAATATTTTGATGCGTTTATTGCGCCATCAGGACCCTATAACAACAATATATCAAAGATGAAACAAAAAAACAAAAACATCTAAAGCTAAAATATGACAAGTTTTCAGTGGAAACCTGAGCTCTCCGAGCACCAAACTCAAGCAAAAGCTTAGACTTTCCGGCGACAAACCGATGCCTTGCTGCATTTGTAGCAACGAAAGATGCGTAATTGATGAGATTGAGAACAAAGAGATAGCATACACTTCAATGTCAGAACAATCAAGTCCTCGTAGATAATCACAGAAAGCTTCCTGCTTTTGGATATTCCCAAAACGGTCAAAACAATGAACAAAACAAAAAAAACGATTCTTTTTATGAAAGTGGAAAAGAGAGATTTTTGGCTGTACCTCACATCCAGGCAACGAATCACGAACGAAATCGATCTCTTCATGAGTCAAATTGAAATTAGCGAGGAATTTGATGCATTCTTCTAATCCAGCGTAAATGGTGTATTCTCCACCAAATGGGTTCTTACGAAAATACAAATCAAACCTGAGGATTGAAACAAAAACGAAGAGAGATGAGAACTTTTTCAGCTATTGTGGATTCGAAAAGGATTGAGATTTATCTAATTGAGAGACTAACACGGATCGTTCGGATTGTTTGCCGGATTTCCAGTAAGCATAAGCCATGGTGAATTGGTAGAGACGGCGTAACCATCGGGTAGGTGGGTCCGTCGACGACCCGACCCGGTTTCTTCCCATCAACACCATTTGCTTTCTTCTCCGTTCTCAAAATCATGTGTGTGTTTTTTTTCGTGGTTGTGTTAAAGAGAGAGTGGTCACTGACTCTGAAGCAAAAAGGCGAGGTTGAGGATGAGGACAATTTATTTTCAACTCCAGTTATGCATTGCTCACATACGCAGGAGGCGGACCCAAAAGGTCATGAAGATGAATCGTCGTCAATTGAGAAGAAGCGGAAGCATCGTTGTTTTATTTATTTATTAAATTACCTATAATCAAAACGACGTCGTTTTGGAGGGGACGGAGAAGGAAAAAAAACTGATATTAAACGACGTCGTTTTGGAGTAAGACGGGAAAGGGAAATATAGAAGGATGACGTGGCACTCTCTGGAACTGCTGACAGCCTGGAGAGTGTCACAAGCCCTTTCAATTATATAGATTTTGATTTCAAATGATTTTTTGAAAAATACTATTTCTATAATATCATTAAAGGGAAAACATATCATTGTATAACTGTCTTACAAGTTTTCGAATTCTTTTTTTTTCTTCTTACCATTACCATTATATTTTTTTATAAATAATTTTATGAAAGTCCATGAAACATTTCATGATAGTGGTACTTTTGAAAATGTATACCAATTACCAACTATTGTATTTTTGAAAATTAGCATGGTGAAACCTTTCTTCCAGAGGAAATACAGCTTGTTTCTGGAAGGGTGTTGGAGAAAGAAGAGAAATAACAACGGGTCAATTTGCTTAATAATTATATTAAGCACAATAATTAAGAATATAGCAATAGCAAAAACAAAATAAAAAAACTAACCATAGCCAAACTTTCTACCTAAATTACCCTTGAGACAATACTGTATAGAACAAAATAGTATAGTTTGTTTCATTTTAAACCAAAAATTTGAAATCCTAAACCCCAAATATTAAAAATCCAAACATTAAATCCATAATCTAAACCCTAAATCAAAAAATTATAAACCCTAAACCAAGAAATAAATCATTAACCCAAAATCTAAACCTAAATAAAAAATCTAAACCCTAAACCCAAAAATAAACCATAAACCCATAATCTAAACCCTAATCTCAAAATCTTAACCCTAAACCCAAAAAGCTAAACCCTAAATTCAAAAGTATAAATCCTAAACCCAAAATTTAAATTATAACCCCTAAATCCAAAACCCAAAAAATAAACACTAAACCCAAAATCAATCTAAACCCAAAAATCAAAACCCTAAACTTAAAAATCTAAACCCTAATATAAGAAAACATTCGTACTATTCTGCAGAGGTAAAAAAAATAGTATAGCATTAATTTCCAATAAAAATGACAAGGCCAAATGGGTATTATTATATAAATTATAGCTTGTATTCTAGCCAAGATATTAGATTAATAGTTAGTTTCTTAAATCATGTTCTCAATATAATTATTGATTATAATTTCCCAATAACAATAGTGGCATTTTGTATTAGAAAAATAACATATACAGTAAATGTTTAATTGTATACTCCAAATCTGCAATCATAGAATTAAATCAGAATGGTTGACAGGCTATTTACTAAATAACAACATATAAATATAGACATATGAGATTTAAATAACAACCGTATACAACCGTATAGTTCTAATTAAGAAGAATATCAAAGTTTTCTTCTGTTTTTGTCAATTTTAACTTTTAAAGACATTTTAATTAAGAAAAATATAAAAACTTATCTATTGAACACAAATTGTTAGTTTCCTTCTATTTTTTAGTTTTCTATCATAGTAAATTCAAATTAATATTGAAAAACTTTAGAGTAAAGTTTATACGTCTTCTAGCGTGCTCATCCCATGTGAAATTTGAACTAGATACTTATGAGTCCAAACATTAAACACCATTACACCATATCCATTGAGTTTAAAACTTATTATTTTCACTTAATCAACAAAATAGTTATATGTCAGGGAATTTTAATGTTTTTCAATAATTTTTTTCTTCAACATATTGACCCTAGCTAGTGACCCTTGTCTTCTAATAAGAAAATGTCATACTGATCATTAAGGGGGGTGTATTGAATTAGGGATTTTGAATGATTTAGGGTGATTTGATTTTTAGTAAGTTTTTAGATGATTTTGTGTGAATCATAGAGTTCAAGTGATTTTAGTTAAATCATTCTAAAATCTCATTTAAAACTATGTGATTTGAAGTCTCTTATTTTTAACAAGGAAATCTCACCAAATAACTCTAAAATCAAATCTATTTGTTTAAATCCACTTTTAAAAACATTTTCAATAATAGTGGATTTGAAAGTGGATTTTAAAATCACAAGTTCAATAATACAGATTTTAAAATGGGTTGTTTAGAATTCAAGTTTGAATAACAGTGGATTTGTCATTTTAATACAAATCAGCCTAAATTACTTCAAATCCCAATTTCAGTACATCCCCTAAGTGAAGAAAAATAATTATAAAAACGCATTCAATGAATTTTTCAGCGATCATAAAAGAAAAACAAAATCAGCGATCAACTTATGGAAAAAAACTGAATTTGGAAGCAAATTATTAAGATCATTTTTTATAAAAGGTTGTCTTTGGAAGCAAATTATTTCCACGTCACTATTCACATCGATGTTTAACTTCTTTCCACCTTGCACATTTACAAACTCCCCCAACAAAACTATATAACACACTCAAAGTCGAAACCAAACTAACAAAATCAGACGATCTTTCGTTTTTTCTTATACTATTTCATATTAGTTTATCAGATTCTTTTTCTGTAGTTCGAAGATATATTCGCATGGCTTCTGTTAGGAACGCACTATGTCTCGTTGCAGCTTTACTTCTAATCTCCCAGAAGACCGCCACTTCCAACGTCCTAGATCCTATTTTTGGTTTGTATCTTCCTTTTCCCACTCTTTCATCTGTAGAAAACAAATAACACAATCTTGTTTTTTTTTCTGGATTTGTTCGACTTTGATTTTGAAAGAATCTTTTAATCCAAATCTAGATTCAGTATACTTCGACTTTCATCTTCTTCTTCGCAATTTGTGATATAGGCTAAGTTCCTCCCGTTTATAATCAACATATTTTAACTTCTTTGTAACAATGATCTGTTGAATCCAATTCTGGTTTTGACTGACTAGAAGCTAAAGAAACTTTGTTTTATTTTATTATTCACTGGTTTTAGTCAATATTATGTAATTCAACTATGTCAAGGAGTCAAAATTATGAAATTAATTTTAATCAAAAAATATTATGGCTTAACAATTTAACAATTAACTCCTGCCCGTATTTGAACATGAGATGCAACAAAAGTACATATCTTTTTTTTTCTTTTTCTTAATAGAATTAAAGTAATTGTATTTTATAAGATGGGTTTTGAGTAAAAATCATCTTCTTTTAAAGGGTCTTTCTCAGATTTCGAATTTGCTATATATTGTGACTCATCTGAAGTTTGTTAATTTATTTATTGTGAACATAAAAAAAGATAACATATGCAAGAAAGTGGAATGTGGGAAAGGGAAATGCAAAGAATCTTCAGACGCAACTTTTAAGTATGAATGTGAGTGTGACAACGGTTGGAAGCAGTTTGATCGTAACCTCAAGTTTCTCCCTTGCATCATTCCCAACTGTAAACTCTTTCTCCTTCTCTTGATCACTATTTAGATTGGTTTGATCATATTGAACATAACAACATGTACATTCATCTTTATAGGTACCTTTGGTATAACATGCGGTGAAGTAGCTTCTCAAGCACAACCTAAAACGCCTCTTATAGATAACAAAGCTTCATTTCTTGACAGTAATAATATATAATCTCTCATTTTCTTAAATCCTCGATCTATGAATATATATAAGTATGACTCTGGTGTTTTTTTTATTTAGTTTGTCAATGGGTGTCTTGTGGACAAGGAGGGGTTTGCAACAATACAAATGGGTTTCCATTCAGATGCGATTGCCGTGAAGGTTACAGCAACTTCTTGAACATCGCAATACTTCCTTGCCACAAGAATGGTAATAAGGACAAATTAGTATTCTTATTGATTGTTCTATTTGAAAACAATTAAAGACTTAATTGGGTTTTGTGTTGTTTTGAAGTGAATCCTGGGATTCCTAAGTCGAACGCATCATCATCTTCTCCATCATCCTCTCCTTCATCATCTTCTCCTACATCATCATCTCCTTCATCATCTTCTTCTCCATCATCGTCTTCTTCTTCATCATCTTCTTCATCATCATGGTCTCCTCCATCTCCCCCATCTCCTCTGCCTAATAGCAGCAAGAACCAAGGTTTGTTCATTTCTTAAAAATGTGTGCCTTACTGTTTCTAAGATAACATATTTTTAATATATGAATAAGATCTTATAAGTTACTGAGGAATTTGAGGTTTGTTAATTGCAGCAGAAGGACTGAATCTAAGAGGATCATCGTTGTGGTGGATAACAACTCTACTCTGTGTCTCTCTAGCACCATGGAAGCTGCTCTACATTTGATCTCTTTTACTTTTGATTTCAAATTTGAGTACAAGTCATTCCTTTAGTTGTTTTCTTGTTGGGTATATTGTACTGTTTTAATATACTTTTTTGTTGCAAACTCATTTTTGCAAGAGAGAAGTGGAAATCTTCAGTTTCTTGTTGTTAGTCAAAATTCTTGTTTTTACTTACTATAACTATAGAAACTATTTTTCTTCAATGGGTTTGGTTATTTAAGAAAGAAAATAAAAACATTGCTAAACTATGGAACAACTCCCACCAGTATTTGAACTTGAGATTCAACAAAAGGACATATCTTTTTGTTTTTTTTTTTTCTCTTAACAGAATTAAAGTAAATTTTTGTCAGTTGGGTTTTGAGTAATAGTCATCTTCTTTTAAAGGGTCCTTCTCAAAAAATTAGTTTTCGACCAAAAGCTTAACAATATGCACATTCATCTTTTTTAGGTACCTTAGTGTAGAAGTTTCTCCACCACAGCCTAAAACGCCTCCTAGAGAAAACAACGCTTCATTTTTCAACAGTAAGAATCTCTAGTCTCTCATTTGCTTCGATCCTCAATGTATATATGTATGACTCTTAGTGTTTTTTTTAATAGTTTGCCATTGGGTTGATTGTGGAGACGGGGTTTGCAATTCAAATCAGTTTCCATACCGTTGCGATTGTGATTTCCTTAAAGTCAACTTCTAGAACATCCCCTTATTTCCTTGCCACACACAATTGTAAGTAGAAAAAAATCAGAATTCTTATTGATTGTTCAATTGAAAACAAATAAAGACTTAATTGGGGTTTTGTGTGGTTTTGAAGTGAATAATGGGATTCCTAAGCCCTCGTCTTCTCCATCATCGTGTCCTTCATCAATGTCTACTCCATCCTTCATCATCGTCTACTCCATCGTACCCTTGATGCAGCGCATCTTATCATTCCCTCATTGTGTCCTTCATCATCGTCTACTCCATCGTACACTTGATGGAGCTCATCTTATCATTCGAACACCATTCATACCGACTTGTGTTCGTTCTATCTTTTACTTTCATTTGGGCTTTGGTTTTAGTTCTTTAATTTCCTTTTACTTATCGTTCAAGCTTTTCATTTTTCGTTAAGCTTTTACGTTCTTATATAAGTTTGCCTTCGTTGTAAGTTATAAAAATTTATGATGATCCTGTGAGTTTTAAACATTTCATGTATTGCACTTTAAATAAAAATTTTGAGATGATAAAGTAATCTCAATTTTATTTTAAATGCATATTATAATTACATACTTAAACACAAGATACAGATTATATCATAATATATAAAAGAAAAGACATGAAAATCTACACTTATTATTATTTATTTTTGAATAGGAAAGATTTTTTTAAAATAAAATAATTAAAGAATGGAAACCTTTCTGTAAAATACTGTTTCTATAATATCCTTAAAGAGAAAAAAATAATATACTTGAAGGAAAAAGTTTCAAAAATGTTATTTTAGTTTTTTCAGGTAAGAGGAGCAAAATGGTAAAATATCTTTTTGCCAGGAGAAATACACCTTTTCAGTTTTCACGTTCATGTTTCTTTCTACCTTACACATTTTACCAACTTCCCAATCAACTATATAACACACTCGAAAGTTGGATCTTTTTAATCCAAATCTAGATTCAGTATACTTCTTCTCATGGCTTCTGTTAAGAACACACTATGTCTCGTTGCAGTTTTATTTCTAATCTACCAGAAGACAGCCACTTCCAACGTCCTAGATCCTATTTTCGGTTTGTCTCTTCCTCTTCCTAATTTTCATCTGTAGCAAAAAAGAAAAAATACAATTTTGCTTTCTCTGGGTTTTGTTCAACTTTGGTTTTTGGTCGAATCTTTTAATCCAACTCTAGATTCAGTATACTTCTTTCTTCCTCTTCTTCGCAATTTGGTAATTTAATTTAATTTTAGCTCCTCCCGTTTATAATCAAACATAGCTTAATTTCTTTGTAACAAGGATAATCTGTTGTAATATTCAAAGTTTTGGTTTTTATTGACTATAAACTAAAGAAACTTTATTTTGTTTTGTTTTAACCCCCCCCCCCACCAAAGAAACCTTTTTTCCACTGGGTTTGGTCAAGATTATTATGATTATGGCTTAATTTATCCAAAACATATTATGGCTTAATGGAATAACTCGTATTTAAATTAGAGATGGAACGAAAGGACAGGTCTTCTTTTATTTCTTGACAAAACTAAAGTAAATTTTATTAGTTGAGTTATGAGTAAAAGTCATCTTCTTTTAAAAGGTCCTTCTCAGATTTCGAATTTAGAAGGGGTAACATATACTATGTGACATATGTGAAGTTGTTAATTTATTTATATATTGTGAACGAAATAAAAGAAGGTAACATATGCAAGAAAGTGGAATGTGGGAAAGGGAAATGCAAAGAATCTCCAAACGCAACTTTTAAGTATGAGTGTGAGTGTGACAACGGTTGGAAGCAGTTTGATCGTAACCTCAAGTTTCTCCCTTGCATCATTCCCAACTGTAAAATCTTTCTCCCTTGCTCTCTGTCTCTTGATCTCTATTTAGTTTAGTTTGATCATATAGATTATAACAATATATGTATATTCATTTAGGTACCTTTGGTCTAACATGCGGTGAAACAGCTTCTCCAGCACAGCCTAAAACGCCTCTTATAGATAACAAAGTTTCAATTTTCGACAGTAATAATCTCTAATCTCTCATTTGCTTTGATCCTCGATCTATGAATATATATATATGTATGACTCTGGTGTTTTTTTATATAGTTTGTCATTGGGTGTCTTGTGGAGGAGGAGGGGTTTGCAACAGTACAACGGGGTTTCCATTCAGATGCGATTGCAGTCAAGGTTACAGCAACATCTTGAACATCGCATTACTTCCTTGCCACAAGAATGGTAAGAAGAACAAATTAGTATTCCTATTGATTGTTCTATTTGAAAACAATTTAAGACTTAAATTGGGTTTTGTGTCGTTTTTGAAGAGAATTTTGAGATTCCTTCATCTCCTTCATCATCGTTTCCTCCACCTGCTCTGCCTAATAGCAGCAAGAATCAAGGTTTGTTCATTCCTTCAAAATGCCTGCCTTAATTTTAATCGAGATACCATATTTTTAGAATATTTGGTTAAAGAGCTTAGTTATTGAAGAAGTTGAGGTTTGTTTAACTGCATCAGCAGGAATGAGTCTAAGAGGATCATCGTTGTGGTGGATAACACCTCTGCTCTGTGTCTCTCTAGCACCATGGAGGCTGCTCTACATTTAACCTCTTTTACTTTTCATTTCATGTCTTGAGAACAAATCGATTCCTGTAGAAGTTTTTCAGTTTTCTGTTGTATCTTTTACTTTTCATTTCATGTATCTGTTTAAACAGCACAAGAGAGACACAGAGCAGAGGTATTGTGCTGTTTAATACATCTCCTCGGTTTTAGTCTTTCCTTTTCTTTGGTGCAAACTCATCTTATATTAATCTTAACTTTTGAGTTACAACAAATGCAAGCCAAAGGCAAAGAGTATGTCTCCCTTCTTACAAAATTGAAAATACAGTAGAAAGTGATCGATCCAGAAAATGAGTGTTCGTATGCATTATTACTACTTACTACGTATCCGCCATTAAGTTCAACATCATCCCCAATTCCCAAAGTACATCTCCACTCAATATTATTCCGATTTTTATATGCATATTTCTCACATGGAATGCTATCAAATCATTTTTTCGTACTCGGTCAATCTTTTTAAGTTGAATGTTTCTCATAAGGCCATCTTCATCCCTAAAACCATGTTTTGGGTTCTAAATCATTTTTTATAAATATTTTTCACACGATTCAATGCTAACAAACTTTGTGTGGGTTTTAAACTTTTTTCTTCCTTCATCCCTAAAACTTTTAATTTGGTTCTTAAAAAAAAAAATCATAATATATAAAAACATAAAATATAGTACATTTAATAATTTTTAAAACATACAAAGACATACAACATATTTAATTAAAATTTTAGAAATCAAACATAGAAAGACATACAAAGAAGAACTAGTTAGCATTCGGGTGATGTTTATGCCATACATGCTCAATCAAATCCGCTTTCAATTGTTCGTGTTTTATTAAATCACGAATTTGATTTCGATTGGCCATCATACTGTCGACATCTAGAGTTGTATCCATATCCGTAAAGATCGGATTATCCACTTGTGAAGTGCTTCCTCCTCCTTGCTCGAATTCAGATACATTGATAAGAGTGTATCCATCCGTTCGTCTTCAACTATCATATTATGCAGTATGATACATGCTCTCATAATTTTTCCAACCTTTTCCTTATCCCAAAAAAGAGCCGGGTTCTTCACGATGGCAAATCGAGCTTGCAAGACTCCAAAAGCTCGTTCAACATCTTTCCGATAATGTTCTTGAAACGCAGCATATAACGATGATTTGGGATCAGGTGGATCTTTAATTGTTGGCATAAAAGTTGCCCATTTAGGATAAATACCATCTGTGAGATAGTAAGCCAACTTATATTTTCGTCCATTGACATAGTAACTCACTGGTGGAGCTCGCCCTTGTAAAATATCATCAAAAACGGGTGAACGATCAAGAACATTGATGTCGTTTAAGGTACCTGGGCATCCAAAAAACGCATGCCAAATCCAAAGATCATGTGAAGCTACGGCCTCTAAAACAATTGTTGGTTTTGCAGAGCCACGCGTATATTGTCCTGCCCAAGGAGCTGGGCAATTCTTCCACTCCCAATGCATACAGTCGATGCTCCCTATCATTCCGGGAAATCCACGTGCCTCTCCAACGTCAAGTAGCCGTTTAAGATCATTTTTGTGGGTCTTCTTAGATAGTCTTTCCCGTACAAAGATATGATTTCATCCACAAAATTTTCTACACATAAGAGTGTAGTAGTTTGAGCGATCCGAAGGTATTCGTCATTCTTGTCAGCCGCACAACCATAAGCCAACATACGGATAGCTGCTGTGCACTTTTGTAGTCCTGTTAAACTACTCCTTCC